GTAGTTCATCTGCCTCCCTGGCAGGACTGTGTGGCCCAGTTGAGTAGCCTCCTCCGCATCCCTGCACACCAGGACCTCATTCTACCTTGTCATTGTGACTGCCTGTCGGCTCATGGGAGGGACACGTGCACATCCCCATTCCAGCTGAGATCTCAGGCACAGAGGGTCCCGCCATGCCCAGGTGCACCCCCAGCCCTGCCCTGGCCTCAGTCTAGGAGGTTCTTCCCCCACCCAGCCTCAGAGACAGCTGGGCAGCTCCTCCTCCTCCTCCCACGGGATGGGGGGAGACTTGCTCAAGGCCCCAGGTGTGTCAGTGCTACAACTTGGTACCGTGAAAAGTCATCTGATCCCAAACCTTATATTTCTGGCCTGTCAACTTTTAGGCCAAAGGCCTCTGTATACCAGTTGACTTTAATGACATTTGTGCTTAGGAAATTGGAAGGACACCTGGATGAAGCACAGGCGCATGGGAGAGGCAACAAGACAGGAAAGCAGCCCTCCTTTGTTCCAGGGACCGGAGGCCACACCCCTCTTCCCAACACTCAGCAGCCACACTCAGATGTAGGACAGCAGGTCTGATAGCAAAAGCCACATGTAATCACCATGGTGTCAAATGGGGAAGAGATTGATCGAGACGATCATTTAGTAAGTTATGTCTACTAGAGGGAAAGGTAATTTACTTTCATTATTAAAAATGACAAAATAAAAGCATGGGCATTGAGTGTGGTGTTAAACCATTTGTGAAGCATCTATCCATCCTCCATCTCAGACCGTGGGTGCTTCTGCCTCTGGACTCCTCAGACCCCTTCCACATGGAGCATCCTAAATGCACCCACCTTTCCAGGTCCCTGCCCTTGGGATACTTGGGAACCAGACCTCATGTAAGGGGAGAGGCTCACCTAGGAACTGCAGACAGAGCAGGAGAAAGGGTCAGCACAGGTGGTCAAGGTTTTCTCTCCAGAGGATGCACTTGCTGGGTAAAGGGTCCCACAGGCAGCTCTCCTATGGAATCTGATAGTGCTTTTGTGGTCCCAATGCCGCGGTTTGTTAAGTGAACAAGAAGCTGAACATGGCAGAAGCACCAGGCAGAGCTGGGCAATAGGTTCGTTTCCACTCAACATCTCAGATCCGTTGGTAGTCACTGCAGGGTGAAAATGGCCCCAGCGTTTCATCCCGGCTGAGTATATGGCATTTGAGTAGCCATGTCTGCTGTTGATATGGGGGAGGAGAGGGGAAAGACATGTGCTAGTGTTTGCTGTGTGCTGGGAGGACAGGGCTCCACAGGACCTGAGGGAACCCAACCAGGGGGAGCCACTGAGCTGCATCAGTGAGCAAGTGAAGGCACCTTCTGGGTCTCCTGCATTAATAATCCCGGTGCCCCCATCAGCTGGGCTTCCAGTAAGTCTAAGGTCAGTTACAACACAGACTGACAGCTAGTGGGACAACAATGTCATCTCCACTGGAGACCTGCAGGAGATCCCCACCATCTCTGTGTGGGCTGAGCCCTCCTAGGTGTCCTCATGGGTCCCAGGGCAATCTCTCAAGTTCCCTTAGTTACAGGTCCTCAGCCTGAACTCCTCTGCACCACAAAGGTCAGAGGTAAACACTTAGCAATGTTGTAAAAAGGAACCTGATTCAGAGAGAAGTGCACAGTCTCTCCTGGCTGATGCTGAGGGCGGAGAAGAGGGCAGCATAGAGCTTGATTCTGGTTGAAATTCACAGAGATACACAGAGGTAGCTAAAAGGGAGGCCCACACATCTAGCCTCCACAGAGCCAGTCCTGTCTTTGGAGGGATTCTGACATTAGCCTACACACAGAAATCTGAGGCGGGCAGATAAGAAGGAGGATGGGGTGGCACTCTAAAGAGCTCCCAGTGAAGGTGTGGACATGAGAGAGACACACAGACCAGGAGCAAAGAATTCCACCACTTCCAGGGATTTCTGGACATGAGGGCTGTGTGGTCACACAGTGGGAGAGTGTGTCTGGCCCTGGCCCTGCAGGGGAGGGGCATTTAGGAAATGCATTCTAACTGGGCATAGAAATCAGGGCAGAAGGGAAGAAAGCAGGAACATCTGAAGCTGCAGACAAGGGCCCTACCACTCACCTGGCTCCCATGTTGGCTCTCTGAGTTTGCTAGCCCTGTCTTAGAGACACCAGCAGAGGGCAGCATGAAGCAACTGATCCTGCTACCCAGCTAAGCCCAATTACTCAAGAAAGGAAACTGTGCCCAGAGCCATTTCCAAAGTAAGTCTCACAGCTTCTCTCTTGGTTGCAGCTTGGAGCTGAGTCAAGCTCCAGAGAAGTTTGTGGGGTCGCACACTTTTGGGGAGGACTGCAGTTCCTTTGTTTTATTTGTTTATTCATTTATTCACTCAACAGTTATAGAGAGTGAGGTGGTCCCCAGCCCTATAATGGGCCCCGGACTCATTGTATGACTCAGGTAATCATACTAATCAC